CCTAAGAAATTTTAATAGAGAGAATTGTAGAGAGAGAGAGAGAATTTTTGCTCTAAAAATTCCAACCTTAAAAATGGAAGGGGAGGCCTCCTATATATAGAAAACCACAACTCTCTCAGAAATATCAAGACATACACGTGAAGGAAGGTGCATACATCTCTGTGCCAACAGCTGGCACAGTTGGCAGAAAAATATCTGCAAAACAAATTGGTGGCCGGCAGCCAATAGAAGGGGCAGACATGCCACAAAAGGTTGTAGGCTTGAAAATCTCTGGTTTTTGTCCAAAAATAAGGCAATAAGGGTGCAAGGTTTGAAGGCTCAAAGCTGTGGCATTCCGCTGAGGACTTCGAGCACCTATTGAGCAAATACACTCATCATTGGGAGTGCAAGTGGTGACGTCCAAGTCGTAAGAGCGGTCAAAAATAGGGTGTCTACACATATGGATATAAACAAGCTGGTTCGGATTTTATCAAGTTCGACATGAATTCGCTCCGTCTATAGACCTAATTAAGTAAGAGCTCTGTTTGGTTAGAGCTTATTTGGTTAAAATAGTTAATAAAGATAAAATGGGTTAAAATAATTAATAAGATAAAATGTCACATTCAATTCGTAATCATTTCATTTTTTTTTATAACCATCAAATTAATTGTAAAAAAAATCAACTATTATATCAACCACAACTATTTTAACTTAAAATAATTTAAAAAGTCAAATAGTTAATTAAAATAGTCTATTCCCAAACAGAGCTAAAATAAAGAGGGAATTAGGGTTGTTGATACGCAGCCCACGCAGCAGCAACTGTTGTGCACCGAAATGAGCTCATTTTGGGATCTATTTTGATAATCCGAATCGTTCACATTTTAAAATATATCAAATAAAACATGTCTGCAAAAAATTAAGTTAATTGGATATCGTTTACTTATTCATCCACTCACATTTATATTCATTTTAATACTTTAAATTACAATTATTATTTTTCTTTGTAGATACAAATGTGAGTGGATGAATGAGTAACCGATAGCCGATTAACTTGATTTTTTATAAGTATGTTCTACTTAATACATTTTAAAATATAAACAATTCGAATTATCGAAATGAATCTTGAAATAGGTCCATTTTGACACACAATAATTATTACTGCGCAACCCCAATTCCAATAGAGTGCTGCTATTAGCACCTGCCAAAATTCTTTGGACCCCCCATTTTATAATTTTTTTTTATTACAATTATACCCTAAAGTAAAATTACATTAAAAGACATTATTAAATGGAACACCCACCTATCAATAAGAACTAATACTTTATAATATTGGACACCCACCCCCACCTCCAACTCCAACTCCAACTATACGTATTCCATGTTTGTAAACCCTAAACCTATTACTTTTCATAACCAACTAACATAAATCCTAAATCTATTATTTTTCATAATCATCTTAAATCCTGAATGTGTCATCTTCATCACCATCATCAATGCTATTAAACTTGAAAGTTTTGCTTCAAGTATAACGTATACTTCATCACTTATTTCATTGTGTAGAGCAATGGAGGGCGAGGATAACATTCTCAGACGTTTATCTGTCTTGTATTAACATTCTCGGTCGTTTTTGGTCGTTCTTGTTTTGTTTGCGCTGTTCGGTACTGGTTTGCTGACTGTTAGAATTATGTTCGGTAATACAGTACTGAACATAATCCTTTCGTTCAATACATAGGTTCCGAACATTAATGTAGATGGTCAGTTATGTAATTTTCTTTGTTAAACTAACTTAGAATGGAAAAGAGTGAATTGGAATGGATTTAAGTTATGTATTTTGAATGGATTTAATTCATGTTATTTTAAGTTGTGAATTGGAATGGATTCAAGTTACACAGTGATGAATAAATTTTGTTCGAACATGCAGTGCTGACAGGATCATTATTGTTCGACAAAATAGTTCTGAACAAAATACATTTTTTCGGCTACACAGTGGTGAACAAATTGGGTGGGTGTGCATTTCATTGTGAAAATATAGAGATTAGTTTTCTATTCTGAAAATATTATGAAAATATTATGGAGATTAGTTTTCCATATATATACATTGTTTTCTATTCCTACAATTCGCATCAATCTTCACTTTCTCATATGAATTTCCCAATCAATGGCAAATTCCAAAGAGACCCACGTCGTCAAAATCCCAATCGACGAAGAACACCAACCCCACAAGTAAATGCATTGTGTTTTTAGGAACCACTTTTTAGATGCGGTTAATGTTGGAGAGAGAAGAGAGAGAAAAAGCTAGGGTTTTGAAGGGGTTTTGAGAGAGAGAGAGAGAGAGAGAGAGAGAAAAGAGAGAGAAGAGAGAGAAAAATCTTCACTTTTTCATTTGAACAAAAGGGGTTTTGAGAGAGAGAGAGAGAGAGAGAAAAGAGAGAGAGGAGACATCACTGATGAGGAGAGAGAGAGAGAGAGAGAGAGAAGAGAGGGAGGCAGAGAGTGGGTGTGGTTGGGGGTGTGAATTGCGTGCATTTACTTGTGGATTTAGGCTAAGGTTAATGTTGGAATGGATTCAGGTGGATGTGCATTTCATTGTGAAAATATTATGAATATGGGTAAATTTAGTAATAAGTGGGATGTCCAAAAAAATATTATTAAAATTTAAGATTTAAAATTAGGATCTAAAGAAATGAAGAGTTCAAAGAATTTTGATAAGTGCTAATAAGAGCACTCATTCCAATAAAGAGGATGCCATTTTCATACGTTGCTCTTTGGCTTTAATTGAGTTGTATTAGCGTGTCCCATTGGACGAGATTGATAATTTAGGTATGAAACGAAAATTAATGACAGTTTAGAGAATAAAAATAAATTTGTTTATTTATAATTATTTTATTTTTTTTAAACAAAAAATTCAATATTCTGAGATGCCCTAATCGTTCAAAACGCCAACCAGTCTCTCTCTCTCTCGGCTATCTTGCAGCACCACCACCGTTACACCAAGCACCACTATTGCGTCGCCGAGACCACAGCCAATTCAATCTCTCTCTTTTTGCCGGCGGCGAGTTTCCACTGAACTTTCCGGCGAAGACTGGTGATTTTATTGTTCTTGTTTTATTTCTAGTACTATATCGTTCATTCTACGCATCTCCAACCCTTCATCAAATTTTTTTTCATAAAATGGACAAAACTCTGCTCCAACCATTTTATCGAATCGGTGTCAAATCAAGGGAGAGGTAAAAATTTGACGAGATATATATTTTTTCACTAAATCAAGGATGAACCAAATTCTTCACGAAATTCTCGACGATCATTCTCAAATTTGACGAAAGTTTATAAAGATTCAAGGATTGGAGATAGTTTTCTTTCATATATATATAAAATAAAATAAAAGGGTTAAAACAAGTTGGAATTTTTCAAAAAGATTTGATGGAAAAAAAGAGAGTAAAGATTGGAATGTTTTCATATCAGATCAAACTTTTAACCAATTTTTGTACTCAAATTTGATGAAAAAAATAGAGTAAAGATTGGAGATATGCTCTTAAAAGATCAATTTTTACACGTGTATTGATGTGTTTTACCTATCTAATGTTTATGATTCTCATTTCCAACCCCTCCCCATATCCCCAAAAAATCATCTTTAATAGTTTTCAACTGTTACTACTTGCTAGATTATACATTCACACTCTGTGCTTGGTTTGCTTGAAAAATTTACAAGTTTTAGCTCTGCAAAATTAAAAAAAAAAAATACATTTTTCTTCTTCTTCTGAGGATAAGAGTACATGTGGGTTAAAGGGTTTGTTGGTTGGGACTTGGCTGAATAGTGATTGCATCCATGGGTTGGTCTTTTGGATTTTATATGTATCTAGTCTGACTTAGCTCATCTCCACCCTTCTCTTTCTTGTAATCCGTTCTCCTCCGATTTCACTCTCTTTACATATATGTACACATAGACACTCAAATACAACTCACATTTGTATGTATTTACAGATCTACATGCCTTATTTTATCATTCTAGGTCTTTTAGCCAACACTCGTATAAAATTGAGGGTTTTGGAATGCAATGAGTGCTAAGAGCTAGAAAATTGATGATTAGACATTGTGTCACTGGTAATACAAGGCTTAGTGCCTGGAGATTGCCTTTCACCATTGCATATGACATAAGATTAGCTTAAGACTTGGGTTTTGAGAATTGATTCTGTGATGGGGCATTCATTTTTCCAATGAATGATGTGAGTAATGTTCTCACTCCTTCCAAAGATTTGGGAGGTTGTAGCTACACAAGAGGAATATAAATTTTCATTCTTTGCATTTTGAGTGTCTTATTCTTTCATGTAGCCAATTGTGCTTCTGACTTATCCCTGTTAATTCTTATTGTTTGCAGAGTAACAGTGAAGAAGCTTGAGAGAGGTGGTATGTACATGGACATCAGTGTGCAAGAGGAGGCAACTTTTGAAGGGAAGATGGGAAAGAAGACTAAGAAAAATAAGAAGAATGAGGCTAGTGCTTCAAAAGAGGTGAGTGACTACAATGGGGCAATGCTTAATGGGATGGAGGATGGTTTTGAACTGAGCAAAGAGGATAAGAGAAGGAAGAAAGACAAGAAGAAAGCTGAAGTTTCTAGCGATGTTGAACTTGATGGTACTCAGAATGAGGATATAGATATAAAGGACATCAGTGTGCAAGAGGCAGCAATTTTTGAAGGGAAGATGGGAAAGAAGACTAAGAAGAAGTAGAAGCGTGAGGCTAGTGCTTCAAAAGAGGTGAGTGACTACAATGGGGCAATGCTTAATGGGATGGAGGATGGTTTTGAACTGAGCAAAGAGGATAAGAGAAGGAAGAAAGACAAGAAGAAAGCTGAAGTTTCTAGCGATGTTGAACTTGATGGTACTCAGAATGAGGATATAGATATAAAGGACATCAGTGTGCAAGAGGCAGCAATTTTTGAAGGGAAGATGGGAAAGAAGACTAAGAAGAAGTAGAAGCGTGAGGCTAGTGCTTCAAAAGAGGTGAGTGACTACAATGGAGCAATGCTTAATGGGGTGGAGGATGGTTTTGAACTGAGCAAAGAGGATAAGAGAAGGAAGAAAGACAAGAAGAAAGCTGAAGTTTCTAGCGATGTTGAACTTGATGGTACTCAGAATGAGGATATAGATATAAAGGACATCAGTGTGCACGAGGCGGCAATTTTTGAAGGGAAGATGGGAAAGAAGACTAAGAAAAATAAGAAGAATGAGGCTAGTGCTTCAAAAGAAGTGAGTGACTACAATGGGGCAATGCTTAATGGGGTGGAGGATGGTTTTGAACTGAGCAAAGAGGATAAGAGAAGGAAGAAAGACAAGAAGAAAGCTGAAGTTTCTAGCGATGTTGAACTTGATGGTACTCAGAATGAGGATATAGATATAAAGGACATCAGTGTGCACGAGGCGGCAATTTTTGAAGGGAAGATGGGAAAGAAGACTAAGAAAAATAAGAAGAATGAGGCTAGTGCTTCAAAAGAAGTGAGTGACTACAATGGGGCAATGCTTAATGGGGTGGAGGATGGTTTTGAACTGAGCAAAGAGGATAAGAGAAGGAAGAAAGACAAGAAGAAAGCTGAAGTTTCTAGCGATGTTGAACTTGATGGTACTCAGAATGAGGATATAGATATAAAGGACATCAGTGTGCACGAGGCGGCAATTTTTGAAGGGAAGATGGGAAAGAAGACTAAGAAAAATAAGAAGAATGAGGCTAGTGCTTCAAAAGAAGTGAGTGACTACAATGGGGCAATGCTTAATGGGGTGGAGGATGGTTTTGAACTGAGCAAAGAGGATAAGAGAAGGAAGAAAGACAAGAAGAAAGCTGAAGTTTCTAGCGATGTTGAACTTGATGGTACTCAGAATGAGGATATAGATATAAAGGACATCAGTGTGCACGAGGCGGCAATTTTTGAAGGGAAGATGGGAAAGAAGACTAAGAAAAATAAGAAGAATGAGGCTAGTGCTTCAAAAGAAGTGAGTGACTACAATGGGGCAATGCTTAATGGGGTGGAGGATGGTTTTGAACTGAGCAAAGAGGATAAGAGAAGGAAGAAAGACAAGAAGAAAGCTGAAGTTTCTATCGATGTTGAACTTGATGGTACTCATAATGAGGATATAAATATGAAGGATTATGCAGAAGTGGATGATAATTATCGGAGAGAAAAGGAGAAGAGGAAGAAGAAAAGGAGAAAATTAGAACCTGGTGAGGATAATGACGAGTCAAATAATGAGATTCACATGGGAGGAGAAGAGAGGAGGTGCTTGCAAATAGATGATGACAAGGATTTAGGGAATGATAGTGAATCTAAAGCAAGAAAAGAAAAGAAGAAAAGGCACAAGGGAGATAGAAAGAAAGACAAAAAAGAATCTGTTTCTTCTCCAATGAAAGTTTGTAAAGATAAAGAGACAGAAAAAGATGAGGTAGTCAAGGATCAGAAAAGTTCTCGAAAGGACAATATTGCTGATATGAAGAATGGGGAAGAACAGATTGAAAAGAAGAAGACACACAAAGGGAGAAAAGGCAAGGAAATTATTGATTTCAAGGGGAAGAAGAAAAGTACAGCTACAGAAGATGTCGGGAAAGTGAGGGAGTACTGTGATGTGGATGTTAGTGATAAGGTCGAAACGAAGAAGAGGAAGAGAGAGAAGAAAAAGGGTAAAGATGATTTGGGTGCTGGGATGCAAGAAATGATGGCTGAGGAGTTTGGCAACAAAAGCAGTTCGACTGAAGATAAAGATTTTGGATACAACAATCGAAATCATCATTCAGCTAGAAACAAAATGCAGGAAATAGAGACAAAAAATGGCGACAAAGGTAATAGGAAGAAGCCCAATTCTTTTGAACCAGGTTCTGAAGATCCTAAACCTAAAACGAAATCTAAAAAAGTTAGGTTTTCTGGTAATATAGAGGTTTTCCCTTCATCTGATGGTCCAAGTAAGGGGAAGGAAAAGAACGAGGATGAGAAATTAGTGCAAGGTAAGCGGTTTTCACCTGAAGAAGATGAGAGAATTAAAGACGCTGTTTCTAACTATATACGGTATAATGACTTGGGTGAAGACGGCTTGGCCATGGTTTTACGCTGTGGTTCTCACCCAAAAATAAGGCACTGTTGGAAGGACATTAGCGCCGTTTTACCTCATAGGCCTCTTAAATCTGTATATTACCGAGCTCATATTTTTTTTGAAAGGGCTGAAAGTCGTTCATGGACTACTGAAGAGCTTGAACTTGTAAGAAAGTATCATGAACAACATGGCCCAAAATGGAGGGAGTTGGCTGATGCACTTGGAAAACATAGATTTCACTTGAAGGATGCATGGCGCAGAATAAAACTACCTAACATAAATAAAGGACATTGGTCCCAGGAGGAGTACCAGAATTTATTTGATTTAGTGAACATGGATTTGAGAATGAAGGCTTATGAGGAAAAGAAGTCAAAGCATGGCATGTTGAGAGATAATATTAGCCGGGGTGCAATTAGTGACAAGTTGTTAACTCGAAGTGATAAAGTCTGCTGCGAGAAATGGTACCATCAGTTATCATCATCTATGGTAGCTGAAGGGAATTGGGCCGATACTGATGATTATCGTCTACTTGATACACTTTTTAGCTTGGATGCGTGTTGCATAGAAGATGTGGATTGGGACTATCTTCTTGACCATAGGTCTGGAGATTTATGTAGGAAGCGCTGGAATCAAATGATCAATCACATAGGTGAACATAAAAACAAGTCATTTGCTGAACAAGTTGAAATTCTCACAAACCGATATTGTCCAGATTTACTCGAGGCAAGAGAGGCCTGGGATAACAAACCCTTTGTTGATTGACGTGATATCATAATTCACAATTAAGTGTCTGATTTGGAATCGCCTGAAGGTAATGTGTACTGTTAGGGACGTGCATGGCATTCTAATGGAAGAAGAGTTGTTGAGAAATCCAATGTTCTGGTGGCCATGTTTTAGGATCTTTGAACAGGCTTGGAGGTGATTTAAGGGTTGATTACAGAGACTGCTATGTAGCTGTGCGAAGATTGTTAAGAACATTTGCAGATTCTCATCAGGGGCCATGCTGCTCTTTTTAATTTTTTAAAAAAAAGTTGTGTTGGCCATGTTACAGGCTCTTTGAAGTAAATCTTTTGCATTCTTGTATTTCCAGAATGAACAGATGGTTTGAAGGATATCTTTTATTTTATATCTAAATGGTATTTTATATCTAAATGAGTGTGAGGAAGATGTAGGTAAACCTATATGCATGTTCTGATCTGTGGTGTTTGTTTTGTACGCATTAACATATTTCTCATGTTTGCAATTTTTAGGCATCTTTTTTTTGTATTTTGTTTTTCTGTTTCAAGTTCTTATGGGTTTTTTTCTTTCTTTAGATTGATCTTACAATTTCTATATTCCTGTCCCAATAATGTTGTTTTCTTACTTAATTCTTTGATTAATATTTTTATTTTTAATAGTAAATTGTAACATTATTTTGTAAGCCAGCAACTTTAGTCAGTTTATGAAGTAAATCTTGTTTTGCTTCAATGTTTAATGAATAATTTTGCAATACCTATTTTCCTCTTCATTGTGATCTCTTCTCCTTGACACGTAAGCAAAATTTTTGGACCAAAAGCTACTCTCATCACAAAGGCTTTCTGAGAATTCTTTAACACTCATGAGGTAGGAAAAGAAAAGAGATGGCTGTAGTTTCTCACCTAGGTGAGAGAATAAAAGAAATGATTGGTTTTTTACCTTTTTATTTAGATGAATGTTGATTAGAAGAGGATAAAAGTGGCCTTATATTTTATTTGTTTTGTATTTAGAGGGATAATTTAGGCATTATAATTTTTTTGTAAAGAGTAATTTTAATTTCTCACCAAATCTCATTACTTTTAGTGAGAAATAAAATTTAAAATTTTGTGTGATTTGTGTTTTTTTCATTTCTCTTCCTTTCTTGTAATTTCTCATCTCATTAATCATTTAAATAAGTAACGAGAAACTTTATAAGCTTGAGTTTTTAAGTGGGTATGAGTTATAAATAATGTATGTTGAGTGTTGATGTGGCGTTTATGAACTCTAGAGTTTCTCTCGGTTGGAACTGGTGCCAATGGCTAACAATTTATGGGTAAACTCTCCTCGAGCATCGACTCGATGTTGGAAATCCATTATCAAAATTAATTTTATGGATAGACGTTGGTGCCAATGGCTAACAATATATGGGTAGACTCTCCTCGAGCATCGACTCTTGATGTTGGAGATCCATAATCAAAATTAATGGGAAGTACGTATCATCTAAGATGAATTTGCAAATAATATATCAAGATCCAAGAGGAGTAAGGAGAAGCAATGGCACAGACTCAAGCTAAGGTCGCAGCTTAAGCCTTAGCTCATAATAGAGTAACTCAAGTAACATCAATTGCAGTCTCAATTTCAAGGACGTGTGTGATTGAGCTGTTAGTTGGCCTCAAAATTGCCACATATTTTACAGATCATAATTGGACTGGTTGCATTGGTATTATAGCCTGTTATACCCCTCTAAAATTTAGTGTTATCCTTAAACTTTTAAGTAGATGTGAGTTACAAATAATATATAAAAGAGATGTGCAGGTGCGGGGAAACTATTGGCTGTGGTGGAGGCGGGATATGCAGGTCACGCTGGAGTAAGGCATTGATCAAGGCTTGGTTCTGCTCGGTCAATCGGTTGATGCTGTTAGTGAGTTCTACGAAATATGGAGGTGGGTTGTTTGGGTTGGAGGGCTCAGCTTTGGGGTTACCAACGTTGTGTTGGGAAGCCATGGATCTAGTCGTGACCATCTACTTTGATGCAGGGGGTGGATGACTACAGGGTTCCTTCCGACGACAAAGAGTATAACTGTCGTTTCGGAATGGAATTTCCCACAGACAGCGCCAACTGATGAAGCACTTAATTCTAATGGAAGATGGGTCAATCTGATCCACACTTCTAACGGCTTCGCCGGTCTTGATGCCCATAGAACGTTCTTGCAAAAAAGGTCCAAAAGGGGAGGTAATCCCCCAGCGGACCCTCCGACGGTCGAGCTGGAATAGGAGAGATTGACTGTGTAGAGAGAGGAAGAGAAAAAATGAATAACTTAATCTTTAATGCTCATCATTTTCTTGTCCATTTCGGACTGTCGTGCTGGCTGAAAGTCTATATTCTAGCTCGCATCGTTCATGGTGAGTCTGCCTCCTCCGACATGAAGGAATTGTAGTATTTAATGCCGTGAGAGCTTCATTAATGGCTGATGTATGGTGCAATAACTTTACAGGATTTTTGTCTACTTACGTGTTTAGGCCTCTGTTTGGCAAGTGTTTGAGTGTTATTGATCCTAGCCTAGTGTTGATTTCTCATAAGTATTAGGCTTTGATCGCTGGAATGTAGACTGAGCCTTGATCCGTGGGTTGGACCCTCCTAGATGTCGATCGGTATCATAACCAAACACAGCCTTAATTTAACTCAAAATAGCACACCCATGCGTTCACATTTGTCAACAAAAAAAAAAAAGAATATATGCCAATGGTTGAAAAACACCCATGCCATACCATCCCAACTTCGTTATTCATTCATCTTAAAACCCAAAGTTAAGTTACCTTTCAAAACCCTAGTCAGTCACAATCTCTCCAAATTCATTTCAATGTCATATGAACCTCAAAACCCTCCAATGGAACAACAACAACAGCACCAAGAGCAAGAAGAGGGTTCCACTCAGAGCAAGAAAGCCGCCAAGTTGGAGAAGCAGCGCCGCCGTGAGGAAAAATCTGCCTCCAGAGCCTCCGCCGCGGACGCCCCTGACCCCCTCGCCGCCAACTACGGTGATGTCCCACTCGAGGACCTCCAGTCGAAGGCCGTCTCGGGCCGAAAATGGATCGAGATCGCGAATTTGAATGAGGAGCTGAAGGACCAGAACGTGCTAATCCGGGGGCGAGCTCATGTGATCCGCAGTGTAAGCAAGAAGATGGCGTTTTTGGTTGTTAAAGAGCAGGGATTCACTGTGCAGTGCGTGCTCTCTGTTGCTCCGGACGTGGTTAGTCTCCAGATGGTGAAGTTCGCCATTGGGTTGAGCAAAGAGTCGTATGTTGATGTCGAAGGGACTATCTCTGTTCCTAAGGATCCCATTATAAGTGCTTCTCAGCAGCAGGTATAATTGCATTTCTGTGTCAATTTTGAGAATGATTTGAGATTATTAATGCTTGAGATTGACAATTCTGAATCCACAATTCACCACAATGACATGATAAGTGAGTTGGGCCATTGATGGTTGAGCTTGTGACAAATTAAAAGTTGGATGATGCACAACTTCCCTTAGGGTCCTTAAACCAATTGACATGGAGTTGTCCACATCAGTGTGGATAAATTTAAGGGTCTCCGGTAAGATGGTGTGACTTAAACATGATAGTGACTTTTTAATTTTTTTAGGTTATAACAAATAAGGCCTTAATATACGTTAGATGATCTTTTTGCTTATAAGCTTGAGTTTTTAAGTGGGTATGAGTTATAAATAATGTATGTTGAGTGTTGATGTGGCGTTTATGAACTCTAGAGTTTCTCTCGGTTGGAACTGGTGCCAATGGCTTATAGGTAAACTCTCCTCGAGCATCGACTCGGTGTTGGAAATCCATTATCAAGATTAATTTTATGGATAGACGTTGGTGCCAATGGCTGACAATCTATGAAGCACGGATACTTCAAATAGGGCGACGTATTCGTATTGTATCCGTATCGGATACCGATACTCCTTGGATACTCGCAGATACGTATCGGATACTTCTTAATTAATTTTTCATTAATTTTGGAGTATCGGATACTTAATTTTGAAGTATCGGATACTCCAAGTCATGTTTACTTGTTTTATGAAATAAGAATTGTAACATTTATTGCATAGTAATAGAATATAATATAATTGCAAGTATAAATATATGAATATTTTTCTAATACTTTGTTAAGTTTTTCGATAAGAAGAGCATAGTGAGTTAAATAATAGAATTTATCAAATTCTATTCCCGGTTCTGGGGTTAACCCTCTGCTGAGACACGTGGCGGCGACTGGTTGGGTTCTACCTGAAAAGGTGGCTGACAGGCCAGATAAAGCATGGTGGAAGGGTGTTCAACAAGCAAAGCGGTATGGGCTCTCTGACAGGCTATGACATCGGCTAACAACAAGGCGTATCTAACAAGCTACACGGAATGGCACTCCGGCAAGGGGTGGCATCGGCTAACAAAGGACCTCGGCAACTAAGGTGACAATGACCTCGGCTAGGAAGGACAACACTTGACTAAGCTGTGCCACATCTTGGCCTAGATGCGCCACACCTCGGCCTAGGTTGTACCACTCCAGGACGAGATCGCTTGGGTACAGGGCAACATCTCGGCTAATGTGTCAAGACGAGAACGGAGGTCAACAAGGGGTTTCAAGACACTACTACCAGACTAAGGATGACCTCGGCTTGGAATAACATCGGCTAGCATAACTCAGGCAAGGCGTGACCTAAGTTTCACATCAAGGAAAGAACGAGACAAGTATACCACACTTAGACAAATCACAAGGCTTCAAAACAAGGCATGGATCACATTAGCTCAAGCGAAACAAATCACAAACATACACATGCAAACTTAACAAGTCATAATCATACAGATGCTCATGAACATGATGAGGACATAAAATGTGGGTTCCTACATAATGTATATTGGACCTTGATGTGGTGTTTGTAGGCTCTAGAGTTTTTCCTTATTGGATTGAGCTGATATTATTGTGCGCTTGTAGGCTCCCAAATTCCCTACCAATAAATTGATCATTGAACTGAATCATAATATATCTTGTTTATTATTATTTTTTAATTATTTGTATGTAAAAATAAGAAGAATAGAATACACTTGTAATCCTTGTAAAAATTTATGTGTCAAATTTGTTAATAAGAAGAATAGAATACACTTGTAATCCTTGTAAAAATTTATGTGTCAAATTTGTTACTTTTGAAACGGTAGAATCGAATCGGAACAAGTTTTTTATCATTCGGTTATTATCAGATGGCCTATACGATTCAATTACAATTTCATTTTTTTATGAAACTGTAAGGATCGATTTAATTCTTAATTTATTTCATTCAGATCAATTTAACCCATAAATATCTCTATAAATAAAATTACTAAACGTCCCTATGGCACTAATATTTTAAATTATACCAAAAAATAAGAAGTCACTAAAAAAATCTAGATTATTAAGAGATTCTTTAATTTGTTCTAAATTTTTTCATTTAACTTTATTTTAAATTTGAATAAAAAAAATTGATATAAAGTACACATTATTTCATCAAATTTTTATTAAAATATTTTTTAAAATTTCCCTTTTTATCTCAAATTTTTTATTATCAAATTTGATATTAAAACAAAAAATAATCTTCAATACTTCATCTTTTAAAATTTGTATCAAATACAAATTTCATGAAGGATTTATTGTATTTTCAATTTGATAAAAAAAAATAAAAAATCTTTACTAATCCGAGAAGCATTTGATAAACAAAAATAGTAGAGATCCAAAATGAATTATGAAATATTATACGTAATACTCACATAAGTGTGATACGCATATCACATGGATCTACATGGGTCCTATATAAGTAGAAAAATTCTACAATACACACTCTTTTAAAGATATGCATCTCTAATTATGTCATTTTATTATTTAACTATAATAATATTTTAATTATCACTCATGAGATATTTGATTGCACATCAAATGTTTGGTTATAATTTTTTTTTTCTTTAGTCATGACTCAAAAAGTATGAGATGATACTATTTTTTTAAAAAAAAATTATAAAGTATATATAATATATATTTTTCTCATATAAGTATTGCGTAAAATATTTAATAATTTATTTGGGATTTTTTCTAGAGAAAATTGATAATAAATCAAATTTAGAGGGTGTCTAAGGCATTAGGTCTACTATATATTTTTTTTATTGATGAGAGATCCAGCATTTGTGAAATAATTTTGTGAGAGGTCCTTTTAGGGTTTAGGGTCCTTTTTTTGATTATCTGTTCAAATTATTTTTTATCTGTTCAAATTTTTCATCTATCTGTTCAAATTATGTTCTATCTGTTCAATTTTTTTATGTGTAAATTTTCTATCTATCCAAATTTTATCTGTCCAATTTTTTGTCTGTTCAATATTTTTATCTATATAAATTTTCTATCCAAATTTTATCTGTATAAATTTTTATATCTAATAATTTTTATCTATACAAGAACTAATTGTGCGTTGTCACTTTTAGAGGCAAATAAAGATATAATTTGAGGGAAAACAAACAAGAACAAGCAAATCTAAAACCTATAAGCCATTAAATCCATCTATTGAATTTTTAATCTGTTGAAATTATCTTTTTCAAAAAATCAATCTGTTAAAATTATTTGTTAAAAAAATTAATCTGTTGCAATTTATCTGTTCATCATCATTATTATCAACAACAACAACAACAAATTCTATATGTTCAAATCTTTATTTTTTCCTCTCTCCCTATCTGTTGCATTTTGTTTCATTAACATCATCAACAAAAAATAAAAAATAAATTAACAAATAGAGATCATCATCATCGTCATCAACAACAAGAACTACAACAACTATTACAACAACAACAACAAAAAACACACACATGTACACATAGAGATCAACATAAACAACAAAGGAAAAAAAATACACAAACGCACACATGGCCTATGTTTTGTAAAAAAAATGAGAACCTTAGAAGATCGAACTAGAGAAAGATCTAGACACTCATCGATTTTTGTGAAAACCTCAGAGAAAGATTTGTCTCTGTCTAGATCTAGTAGAACTTGAACTTGGTCCAGATCTAACATCTTCGACGACGGACTCCGGTGGATTTGACAAATATGGATAGGGAAGAGAAAGTGGTGGTGTTGGCGGCTGAAATGGAGAAAAGAGAAGAGAGAGAAAATAAACGAAGAGAGAGAGAGAGACGATATGTATTGGTTAGGGTTTGGAGAAGGCGACAGAGTATGAGATCAACACGGCTAGGAAGGAAAGTGGTGTTACAGGGAAGAGACATATAGAGTGAGATTGAAGAGAGAGAGATGAGAAGAAGAGAGATCGACGGTGAAGGAGATAGAGAGACTACAACAAGTTGGGTCTTGGATGAAGAATTTTTTTTGTCTCCAAAGAGTTAATTTCGTCATTATAGATATTTGTGAGGAAATATTTTCGTCACTGGGTTCGTCATTGAATGTTTGTCACTAAAAAGCATCGTGACGAAAATAATTTCGTCACCAATGAAATTACTTCAGTGATGAAACTTTTTGTCACCAATAAAACAACATTTTGTCATTAAAAATCCTCATTTTCGTCACCAAATAGTTATTTAGTACTACATTTATAACTTTAGTTGACGAATAAATTTGTCATACATGTTGATCATTGATGAGGAAATAATTTCGTTTAATTTCGTTGCAGTAAAATGTAAAGTTGACGAAATTTTTCGTCTCCAAACGCCATACATGGGTGACAAAATATATTTCGTGGCAAAAATATATATATGAGACAAAATTTTTAGTCACCAAACAATAAAATCAATGAAAATTTTCATATATAAATTGTAATAATTTTGTCACAAAAAATATTTATTAGCGACAAATAATCACTTTGTCATAATAATAAGTACAAATGACGAAAAAAAATCGTCACCAAACTTGTCTCATATTTTATATTTCAATTTAAATTATTATTTCACAAATATCCCTGCTCATATCCCAATAGCCTTTTAAATGTAGTAAAAAATCCATTAGCTATTATACACCACTCTACAAAAAAAATTCACTAAAAAATTTATATTATAAATCAAAATATATCCATCAAACAAATTTAATAATAATCCATTAAGTATAACAAAAAAAACCATCAAAGCAAATCCCAAAATAAACTAACATGGAGTTCACAAAAAAAAAAATCAACACTCAATCTTGATTTGCAACTAAAACTGTATCAGTTCAGGCTAAAAAAATTCAACACTTGATCTTCATTTGCAAGAATGCTTCCAAACGTCATCAAAAACCAATCTGCAAAGAAAATAAAGAAAAAAAACATTAATATATTATCAATTACATCTAAACTCATATTTGAATAATTTTATTTTATAAAGCAATTTAGTAGAGATGCATATAACAATCTAAAATTTCAAAGAGTTGAGGTGATCCTTGATGATAACCAACACGGATAATAGAATATGACAAAAGATTGCAAGAATACAATGTATCACTAGCACTAATGCCAACAAGAACCAGAGAGAATCACAAGACATGTTTGACACAAACTAATCAGCCCACGATTTTTACAGGAGTTAACATTTTTGTTGAACTTCTAGACCCCTACGTGTAAATCATCCAAAAAAAGATTGATTCAATAATTGTAGTCATGTTTGTCTTGGAAAAAGTAGTCAATCTATTTTTAAAATCATACCTGTTGTCCCTTTTTTTTTATAAAGACAAATATGGTGAAATCATGTGGTCACGATTATTTTTTTCATGAATAATCTTTACATAGATCTATAAAATTAATAGATCAAATCACCACAGTTGGGCCTACAGTATCCAGCCCAGTCCACACAGTGGATTGGAGACAAGCTCAGCCCTTTCAGAAAAATGATTGGCCGAGTAAGATCACTATATTGACTAAAAATTAAAAGCACCCACAACCTTTCACAGACTAAAAGCAAAAAAGTGCGCCAACATCAGCGTTGTTAACTTATTAGATGAGGTTGACCAATCATGGTCATAATTGACAAGAAATAAAAGCACCAGAGTAGTGGAGGAAAAAACTGGATAGTTTGACAAAATCCTGCTCCGCTTGATCATCCTAGTAAACATCGGGAAGTAAAACACTGGTAATAAGCCATTTAAGGAAATCCTATTAAAATTTGTCTACCTACCGTACCAGCAAGTGCATATGCTACAACTAAGGGAGGCGAAGCAAGATAGTTTGCTCTTGTGAGTGGATGAACACGACCTTCAAAGTTTTGGTTTCCAAAAAGCACAGCAGCTGCAATAATATCTGTAGAATAAAGCACTAAGTCATTAGAGAAAAAATTCAGGGACATAACGAACAACTACGTATAAACAAGAATGATTCCATTCTCTGAAATTGCAGAAGCAACTGATTCATCAAGTTCCCCGGAATTCCCAATACATGTTGTGCAGCCATAACCAACAATATGAAAGCCCTGCCGGTTTAAGTACTTTTGTAGGCCACTGCAGACACCAAAGCCACAGACAAAATTCAGTACCTGATATGCACATGGTAGACATCCAAAGAAATAACTTGAACTAACTAATGTCTTCCAAAAAATGTAATCAGTACCTCTGCTGCAAATATTTTGTGACAACTCCAGAACCTGGGGCCAGGCTTGTTTTTATCCATGGCTTGATCTGTTGATAATCACATATAAGACACTCATCATACACACTGATATACAGGTAAGGTTAAGGTGCAGATAACTGCTCATTTTTCTCCCTATCTAGTTTGTTAATATTATTTATAGACATGCATTTCCACAGGATTCAAGTTAAAGAACAGAAAGCATTTCAAGAAGCCAATACCTACCTCCAAGCCCAATTCACAAGCTTTCTTTGCAACAAGACCAGCTCGAAGCATCACAGTAGGGTTTGATGTATTTGTGCAACTTGTGATGGCAGCTATGACCACGCTACCATGCTTGAGCTCAGCAGGCTGTCCATGGAATAAAAACTTTGCAACTTTGTCCTGCTCCTCCTTGGGTACGCCAAAGCCCTGAATGAATATAAAATATTACAGAATCAGAAAAAAACAGCTGAAGGTCCTCACATTGTGACTCGACCACAAATGTGACTGATAGTCCCATCCCATTTACACACTACACAATCAACTCATAGAATCAGACTACGTAGACCAAAAGAGGATGAAATGTGCTAAGTTTGTATCAATTAATGAAATGATGGCAGAACCACAATCTGGAAAACCAAATTATAGCAAATCCAAGCAATAGCTGTAAATCATCCAAAAAAAGATTGATTCAATAATTGTACCACGTGATTTAATCGTGTTTGTCTTAGAAAAAGTAGCCAATCTATTCTTAAAATCATACCTGTTGTCCCTTTTTTTTTATAAAAACAAATATGGTGAAATCATGTGGTCACGATTATTTTTTTCATGAATAATCTTCACATAGATCTATAAAATTAATAGATCAAATCACCACAGTTGGGCCCACAGTATCCAGCCCAGTCCACACAGGGGATTGGAGACAAGCTCAGCCCTTTCAGAAAAATGATTGGCCGAGTAGGATCACTATATTGACTAAAAATTAAAAGCACCCACAACCTTTCACAGACTAAAAGCAAAAAAATGCGCCAACATCAGCGTTGTTAACTTATTAGATGAGGTTGACCAACCATGGTCATAATTGACAAGAAATAAAAGCACCCGAGTAGTGGAGGAAAAAACTGGATAGTTTGACAAAATCCTGCTCCGCTTGATCATCCTCGTCAACTTCACGAAGTAAAACACTGGTAATAAGCCATTTAAGGAAATCCTATTAAAATTTGTCTACCTACCGTACCAGCAAGTGCATACGCTACAACTAAGGGAGGCGAAGCAAGATAGTTTGCTCTTGTGAGTGGATGAACACGACCTTCAAAGTTTTGGTTTCCAGAAAGCACAACAGCTGCAATAATATCTGTAGAATAAAGCACTAAGTCATTAGAGAAAAAATTCAGGGACATAACGAACAACTACGTATAAACAAGAATGATACCATTCTTTGAAATTGCAGAAGCAACTGATTCATCAAGTTCCCCGGAATTCCCAATACATGTTGTGCAGCCATAACCAACAATATGAAAGCCCTGCTGGTTTAAGTACTTTTGTAGGCCACTACAGACACCAAAGCCACAAACAAAATTCAGTACCTGATATGCACATGGTAGACATCCACAGAAATAACTTGAACTAACTAATGTCTTCCAAAAAATGTAATCAGTACCTCTGCTGCAAATATTTTGTGACAACTCCAGAACCTAGGGCCAGGCTTGTTTTTATCCATGGCTTGATCTATTGATAATCACATATAAGACACTCATCATACACAATGTGATACAAGTAAGATTAAGGTGTAGATAACTGCTCCTTTTTCTCTCTATCTAGTTTGTTAATATTATTTATAGACATGCATTTCCACTGGATTCAAGTTAAAGAACAGAAAGCATTTCAAGAAGCCAATACCTACCTCCAAGCCCAATTCACAAGCTTTCTTTGCAACAAGACCAGCTCCAAGCATCACACTAGGGTTTGATGTATTTGTGCAACTTGTGATGGTAGCTATGACCATGCTACCATGCTTGAGCTCAGCAGGCTGTCCATGGAATAAAAATTTTACAACTTTGTCCTGCTCCTCCTTGGGTACGCCAAAGCCCTGAATGAATATAAAATATTACAGAATCAGAAAAAAAACAGCTGAAGGTCCTCACATTGTGACTCGACCACAAATGTGATTGATAGTCCCATCCCACTTACACACTACACAATCAACTCATAGAATCAGACTACGTAGACCAAAAGAGGATGAAATGTGCTAAGTTTGTATCAATTAATGAAATGATGGCAGAACCACAATCTGGAAAACCAAATTATAGCAAATCCAAGCAGTAGCTGTTTTCATCTTACTTTGAATCCAACTTTACTATGGAGACATAAATGCCAGTCAGCCTTCATGTCTTTTAGAGGAACTCGATCATGAGGCCTGTTTAAAAAATAAAATAAAAAAAAGAACTATACATATAAGCACACAACAATAACATGGAACTGCAAAACATTTGGTGCCAGAACTGAGAATAAAACATTACCTTTTGGTCCTGAAACACAGAGTTCTACATCTGCTAGGTCCAACTCTAAATATGATGAGAATACTCTTTTTTGTAGAGGCTTTGAAATAATCCCATTAGCCTCAGATGTAAGAATGCCAAGAAGAAATGCATACATGTAGGAAAATAACAAATAAGGGAAGAAATTTTGTTTTCTACCTCATTATAATCAACAAACATTTTGTTTGCACGCAAATAAGCTTCAATCATAGCCACGTATGAATTATTTTAGCAATAGCAGTCAGAAATTTATATGAGAAATCCATCAACCAAATATAGCGCACAACAAAAAATAAGGAAACAAAAAAAGAAAAGAAAAGACAAACGCACAGTCTCATCACTCCTTCCAGTTAATTTAAGGTACTGTAATGTGACATGATCTACAAGGAAGAAACTCATGGTTACTCCATACTTAGGGGACATATTTGCAATAGTGGCCCTATTGGCCAATGATAATTCGCCCATACCTTCACCTATACCCACATAAAAATAAAAATAAAAGGAATTAGAGCCAAACACATACTCAAAATAGATGTGCAACAACCAAATTCGCTGTCCAAGTATAAAAATTTAAATTACCATAAAACTCAACGAACTTGCCAACAACACCATGCTTCCTCAACATTTGGGTCATAGTTAAAACCAAATCAGTTGTTGTGACACCATTGCGTAATTTTCCTGATAATTTGAACCCAACAACACCAGGCAAAACCATGCTCATCGTCTGTCATATTGCAGAGTACAACATTAGTGGAGGGGCTGGGAGACAAGAAGAAAAAATATAAAGATAAAACAACTACAGATTTAATGCATTTATGTCTACCTACAAGTAAATGCATACAGTGCAACTCTGTAAGTGGAGGTGCAAATATACACAAAGGTAACTGTTTTCCAATAATGAATTAATTCAATCCAATATCAGAATATTTTTCATACAATTATTGTTAATCTCTGGTTGAAAAATTGCACTCTTACTGCCTCAGCTAATATAGCAGCATAATACCACCAGCAAGCAGCAATGGCGCATCCCAGACAAAAGCAAACACAGATACACAGAACTAGTAAAACAATAGTGAAACCTAACATATTCAAAGACTTCCAAAAGGAAATCAGAAAATAAAGGTCAGGTGCATAACTTGGTTTGTATAAATGGCATTCTAGATAGGCAATTTCAGATACGTTAAGCAAGGTATTTTCAACATCCAAATGTAATAGTAAGATGCACACTAACGCACGGCAAAGACTCCTGTGAGTCGTTACTAATCATGCAAGCATCAAGCAATAATGTGAACAACCAAATTTATGCCAGCATCTAAGGCTGTTTTTTAAATAAAAAATAAACTAGATTCAAATGAGGACTTATACAGAAAATACATTTCAATCTCAAAATACCTCGCCAAGCATTGTTGCCTCTACTTCAATTCCTCCAACTCCCTAGCCTGCAACTCCTAACCCATCGATCATCGTTGTATGGGAATCAGTTCCAACCACACTATCGGGGTAAAGAATGCCATGTGTTGAAAACAACCCGTCCAAACGTTACAAATTCTCGTTAACCGTGCGTGTACAACAAACTAAATTGAGCATGTGTGAATCTAAGAAATATATATAATGACACTTTTGCCCCTTTTTTTAATTTTTCTTTTTCTATTCTTTTCTTCTTCATTCCCTATCCCTCGTCCTCCGTTCTACAGCAGCAGACCCACTCTCCCTTCCCCTTCTTCTCACTTCCTCCTACACCTCACATGCCACCACCAACCAAAAGCCTCATGGGCCACCATGGCTATCAACCACCTCTAAAACAAAACCCAGCAGCCACTTCCCCAGACACCCAGGTTGGGTGACTCAGCAACCTCATAGAGATAGTCCACCATGACACCACTGTGCATGGCCAAACCCAACCCCAACACCTAGTGGACAAGCACCTTTCATCCGTCACATCTTTCTCTTCCCCGCGGGGAAGTAAAATTTAAAACTCATCTCCCTCTAATAGTCTAAAAACATAAAGTTCTAAACACAAGTTCCAAAGGCAATGAATCACC